TGCCGTAGGTCCAAGAATAGTAGAAATAATAAAAGGCGAAAATCATTATAATGATGATCAAGCCGTCTTCCAACAAGACGAAGCAACTCCACATTATACTGCTAGTGTGAGGCAATATATTGATGGGATATTGCATGATCATTGGATTGGAGGGAGGAGACCTTCTATGGAATGGCCAGCTAGGTCACCCGATTTGACTCCATTAGATTTTTTATGGGGGCATTCAGATTCAAAAGTTCACGCTACCCAACCAGAAACCCTAGAAGACTAACGCCAAAGAATTATACAATGTCAGATGATAACACCTGAAGTTCTACAAAACGTCAGGCATCGTTTTGAGAAGAACCCTTTTTCCTGCATAGAAGTAGGCGGGACACGATTTGAACATTCAATAAATTGACGTAATTCAAATAAACTTGTTTCATTCGAAAGACACAAAAAAGGAAAGGTTAGGTAACTGGCAGTAAACAGATATTTCTTGCTATTTTTATATCCACAAGATATCCATCAGTCACACAGAAGTCACCATTTAAATTCAGAGTGAAAAGGCTTTCAAAATAAGGTATGACACGACCCCTTTTTCTATTCAAGATTCAAGGGGTGCTTTCAACCCCTCGTAAAGGGATTCAGGCTTTAGGGTGGCCTCTTAATTAATAAGTGACCCCTTCGGGAATCCTTCTTCCATTTTGCTGTTTCTTTGATTTTGACAAGCTTCCATATCCAGAGAAATAATTTTAGCTAGGTACTTCAAACTTGGCAGTTATATTCAGAATTGAAAGATCTTCGAAATAAGTTGTCACACGACCCCTCTTTCCATTTAAGATTTTAGAGGTGATCCCACCCCCTTGGAAGGGGTTGCTGGTATGAGGGTGCCTTGGTGAGAAAGAGTTGTCTCCCTCGATAATAAAATCGAAGTGTCTGAGATTTATGTAAAAAAAAGCATTTTTTTCATATCGAAAATACCTCTGTTTCGTTTTTGCTGGGACACCCTGTACAAAGATTTTATGGAACTGAAAGTTGAAGGAGAGTATCAAGGACAAACGTTTAGTTCAAGTTCTAACTTACATATTTCAGATATATTATAGAATTCAATGAACACATTCATGTTGAGATCGAAATTATAAAGAAAATGCATCTCTAAGACAACAAACACAATCCTATTGGATTGAAAATCTCCATCTTCAAGAATTTGTTTGCAATAATGTTGAATTCAAATGATTAAAAAAATCAACTCAAGACAATATTCACAAAATATGTTGGGAATGCTATCCATCATTCATATATTCTAGAATAAAATGAAACACAACCATATTGGATACAAAATTATTAAAAAAATGTCAATTGTAACACACTCAACACAATCAGGTTGAAATAATTGAAGTCAATCCTATTCATCATAGTATTGAATGAATACAATCCATGTAAGATTCGGAAATTATAAAAAAAATGTGAACTTATCAACTCACTCAAAATCATGTTGAGATCGAAATTATTTAAAATGATCACGATATTCAAATAAGATGTTGAAAATGCACTCCAATATATCGTTATCGATATAGTTTTTGGAATGCCAGAATGAGAAAGAATCAGGTGGAGTAAGATCAAGAGATCTTGGTGGCCAAATCTGTGGGCTCATAATGCGCCTATCATAATATTGTCACGATATAATAGAAGGTGAGTCCATTCATATCGATTTATAAGGGGTTTATTTATTTATTTATTTATTTATTTATTCAAGTTAAGGCCACTCAACAGGTCAGAAACCCAATAATAGAGTAGCACAGATTACAAAAATAAACGATAGTTACAAGTTGTCGTGGCTTAAGAAAAGAAAAAAAGTGGAAAAAATAATCAAATGTCTATATAAGGAACAAAAATGATTCTCAAAATATTTCAAATCATATGTATGTACATGGAACGACGAGAAGACATAGTAGTATATATTGAAACAATGGAGGTGTAATCAATAAGGAACATATAAGTTTTTTCATGAACTCATGAATAAATAATTTTTTTCAGACATCTCTTGAATTGACTAAGGTTTTGCGAGAAAATATCAACATTACTATTTCTATTATCACTCAGAGCTGAGTTACAAGATTTAACACATCTGTGTACAGGAGAATTCAGAACGTAATTTGTTCTACTTTCAGGAGTCAAAAGGAGACTTCTATTTCTAATGATATAAGGAGAACAATTTATGGATACATAGTGAAGACAGTATCTGGAATCGATAAGGTTATTGTATAGTTTGTATATCAGACAAACATCGGAAAACTCTCTTCTCTGACGTAAATGTTGAAGTTTATAAAATTTTAAATTGCTTTCATACGAAAAGTTGTGCCGATTTCTATTGAACTTGTAGTTTAGTTTGTTGATCAATTTTCGTTGAATATTTTCGATCCTGTCTACATAAGTACCATAAATTGGGTTCCTAATTGTCGAGGCATATTCCAAAATTGATTTAACTATCGAGTTGTATAAAATTATTATCGATTCTGATTTTTCAAAAGATTGTGTGGCCCTCAGAATGAAACCCAAGTTTCGTTGTGCTCTTTGTATAGCATTTTCAATATGCACATCGAAGTGAAGCTTATAGTCTAAAATGATTCCAAGGTCTTTGATTTTGTTTACGACAATGAGATTTTGCCCTGATAACGAAAGATTTCTGAGGATAGGGTCGCGTGCTCTCGTGAATAATATTTGTTGACATTTTTCGAGGTTCAAGAAGAGTTTGTTTTTTCTCCAGTAGTCCGTGAAATTATCAAGATCGATTTGAAAATCATTGTAGTCACTGGCATTTTTTATTTTCTCAAAGATTTTCATATCATCGGCGTACAATAGAATATTAGTGTGTTGAAAACATGCATCAATATCGTTGAGGAATATATTAAAAAGTAGAGGTCCCAAGTGTGACCCTTGAGGTACCCCAGAAGAAACTAGTTCAATGGATGATTGAACTCCATTGACGACCACAAACTGACAACGATCTTTCAGGAATGAGGTCAGGAGTCCCAACAAGCTTCCATGCACACCAAAGTTTTCGAGCTTTATGACAAGAAATGGATGATGAACTTTGTCAAAAGCCTTAGAAAAATCAGTGTACACTGAACAGGTTGAAACTCCTTCGCTCATTCCATTGTAGATCTCTTGTACATAAGGCAAAAGGTTAGTTAGCACTGATCTATTGCCATAAAATCCATGCTGATGTGCATTGAGACTACATTTAACTAGGAAGAATAATTCCTTAGTCAATACAGATTCAAATATTTTACCAAAGTGACATAACAAAGAGATGGGTCTGTAATTTTTCACGTCATTTTTACAACCAGCCTTATGCACAGGTACAATTTGAGCGATCTTCCATTTTTTTGGGAAAGTACTTTGTTTCAAGCAATTATTGAAAATCAGTTGAAGAGGAGTTGAAATGGCATTCCTACAGGATTTAAGAAAAAGTGCGGGAATTTTATCAGGTCCAGGACCCTTGTTTCTGTCTAACCGATCGATAGCATTCAAGATCTGTTCCCTTGATATAAAATTTATTGAGAAGTTATTGGAGCAGTTTGGGACAGGTGTAATATCTGGCTCGGTGAAATTGGGTTCATAAACACTACTAAAATACCTTGAAAAAAGATTGCAAATTGATTCATTATCAGATGCAGCTTCATTTTCAAGTTTCACTGAAGCGGGCAATGACTTATTAGTACTTTTATTCGACAGAAAAGACCAGAATACTTTAGAGTCTGATTTCATGTTATCTTCAGTTTTTCTTATATATTTTGTATAATCATTTTTCATTCTGTCCTTAGTGATTCGGCGTAAGTTAGAGAAACTTTGATAGTCATCAGGATCCTTATAGTTTTTCCATTTATTATGCAATTTTTGTTTTTTCTTCAAAAGTTGCACGGTGCCTTTTGAAAACCATATCGGAAATTCAGACTTTCTAACTATAACTTTAGGAACGAAAATGTTGATTAGATGATCAATTTTCTTGTAAAATATATCAACACATTCCTCAGCATCTCTATGATCAAATAGAAGTGGCCAGTTAATTTTCTGAAGTTCACTGTTGATACTATCAAAGTCGGCATCTCGAAACTTGAGTTTTTCATAAGAGTTACTTATCATCAGCCTGATCTCCGATACTTCACAAGTAATATCAAGTGCAGGATGGTGTGCGTCCTCCGGTACAAAGGAGTCGCTACATCTTGTTACATCAGTTTTTAATGAATTAGTAAAAATTAAATCAAGACATTTATCATAAGAATTGCAGATATTACTATACTGTTTTAGTTCAAGAAGTGATATATTATCAACAAAGATTTCACTGATGGCATCTATAGCGTTGGTCGGGCAGAAAGATTGCAATGAGGGGTCGAATTCCCATTTCAAATTAGGGATGTTGAAATTTCCAACGATAATAATTTTGTATTCCACTTTGTTCATAATTGTTCTCAGTTTTTCAAAGAATATTATTAAGTCATTCAAACCTACTCTCGGTGGTATGTAAATGCATCCGATATAAACTTTCTTACCTCCATTCAATGCGATAGATACCCACAGATCTTCTATAATACCACAAAAAGGCAATGGAAATACACTGCTCGACACAAACTCACTCCGAACACTAATCATGACTCCTCCGCCATCCTTCTTGCCACTGATATTTGGATCCCTGTCTCTCCTGTAGACATTATAAGAAGCCGAAAAAAGTTCAGAATTATATATTTCTCCTTTCAGCCATGTTTCTGAAATACACACGACGTCATACGTTGATACACTAGTTGCCTTCAAAAAGTCTTCTGTTTTCGTTCTGAGTCCTCGCGTATTTTGATAATAAAGTTTTATTCTATCGAAGATGGAATTTATACTACAAAAGTTTACCAATAAAAAATCAACTTTTACTGTGAGGATATGAGTTTCGAGAGTGTATTCTCACCTCTAACATGAATAACTCTACTGCTTTCATTTTTCTTTACGAAAATTTTCACATCCCTCACCCAGCAAAATTTGAAACCATTGTCCTTGCAGAATATACGAGATTTCTTGAGGAGTGTTTTGAAAAATGGGGACAAATGCTCATTAATATATACAGGATCTTCCGATCTGAAATTCAAATTCTTCAGTGTAAGATTTCTTCTGTGCGTTCGAGCTGCCTGCATAACCGTATTCTTAATAGTTTGCGAGTTCAGTTTGACTATGACAGGCTTAGGAAATTTTTTAGCTGCTTCTGAGTTCAACTGGACTCTATGAATCTCTGTTACATCCGATTTAGTGATTGGAACTTCAAGTATTCCAGCAATATTATCCAAAATATTGTAAAGATTTTTCCCAGTTGTTTCTGGAATACCCAAGATCTCAATGTTATTCAAACGCCCTTGTTGATTTAACCACTCAACATCGTACTTCAGATTGGAAACTTCCGAGTTTAAATGCTGGATTTCTTGCTTCATGGTGTCAACAGTGTTGATAACTTTTTTCACAGTTTCCATCTGGGCATTGAAATCGTCTATTTTGTTGCCATAAAATTGAAGTGATTGGGCAAATTCAGTTTGACTTGCTTTAACATCTACGATAGCTTTGAACATCGAATCAATTTTCGTTAGTAGAACTTTCATGGCATCTGGACCTTCGGTTGCTTTGCTGTCTCTGCAATCGGCGCACTTTCAGAAAAAACCAGAGTCAGCCGATAAGTCATCAGTTATTGTGGCGGGCAGTTTAACACACTTGTAATGGAAAAACAATTGGCAACGACCTTGGCACTGAAGACCTGGGCTATTCCGGCTACTTATCGTTTGCGAACAAATTTTACACATCGGCATTATGGTTGAAAAAACTGGTGCCAGTTTTTGCCACTCTAACGAGTATGAATTGATATTATCAATTACTAGGAATTAAACTGCAGTTCTTGATTATCGCGACTTGACTTTACGAAAATCACTTAGAGCACAGTGTCACGACAAAAAAGATATTAAATTTGTCAGAAATAAACATATATGAACCACTTTTTAGAGGATTTAAAGTGAGACAAAACGGAAACGTGTTGAGCCACGAAACGAGTCAACGAACTACTTGGCTTAATAGTTTGAGAGAGGTAATTTTCGAATAGGCACTAATAGTTTAGGGTCAGCTGGAAGTACGATATAATATATTCAAACGTAACAATATTCATTGAAGCATGAAACATTATGGATAGCGATGAAAAATATGAATAAACAACAATGAATATAACGACCCAATAACAATTTACATTATAGTGACCATTACGACGAGCTCTCGTCAAGTCAAGAGTAGTCCCAGAACGCGACTAACTTCGGAACCCCCACATCCACTATTTATATACATCATTTTATTAGTCTAGCACGTTCCTTATGAGAGTTCCTTGGTCAGTTTTCATAGTTCAATGTCAACGGATGATTTGATCAACTAAATGTTTATAAAACCCTCATGGTTCGAAATTACTTATATACCGTATGTTCTACTCGTGACACGACCCCTCTCTTCGAGAGAACTGTACCCCAGTTTTGAAATAACTACCTAGAACCTAAATTATCGAGGAGAACATATACCTAAAATAAATGAATGACAAAAAACAATACAGCATGGAAATTGAGTTCACACACTCAAAAGTTCAGTGTCTACAATGCGCACTCACACTTTTACTTAGTTCGGCACTGGCTATTCAACTGATTTTAATCAGACTCTTCTCGATGAGACTTCTGGCAGCTGGGGGGTGGGGAATGACGATTGGCCATGGCATTCTCCAATCGTCATTGGGATTTCGACAGGATCCTTCTAGGCTCGGAGGTATCCTTGTCCTGGGAATTAGGATGAAATCTTTCCGGCTTCAAGATTTCGTAAACTGTCCTTCGAGAAAGTTTACAGCTGAACGAAGGGAACTGCCCAGATAGCACACGACGTCCCGGGGACGTACATATTACGTCCGATTCGGGTCCGTACGTCCCGGAACCTAATATGGACGTCCTCAGAACGTACCATGCCGTACGTCCTCGGGACGTACAGAGCGTACGTTTTCAGGACGTCCATTTTTAGTCTTGATTTTTTCCATATTCATTATTCACTCTATATTTATTATATTCTCCAATAACAATAAAACATTGCCAGATGTGATCAAATGGAGAAGGAATAAGGGCCCTTATTAATGGCTGCCGATCAATTCGATAATAGGTCACAATGAATCACGTGATTTTTTGTGACCAATGTGGAGAAATTGAAGTAAATCTGGCAATGTTCGCATATATATTTTTATCCTAAATAGAGTGTTACCTCTTCATTGGATTCAGAGATTTCGTAGGATATACTTAAAGATGAAATTATGTACACATATTGTCTTACGTCCTGGTCTTTATACTGATTCATAGCGAATTCCATTGAAATGAGCTGGTGGAGTGTTTCTGCACTCAATGTTTACGTTTCCATCTCATACTCGCATATCTTGAACAGATGTAAGTCTTATATTCAATAAGTGTCGTGTAGAGTTGTTGGTAAAGCATCTGCTCGGTAGTTCAGAGGTCGCGGATCGATCCCCCAGTAGGAAGGATTTTTTTAATTTTTTTATTCAAAATAATATTTTTTTACTCTGTATAAATGTCTTGTTTATCTATCTGAGTAAAAAAAGGGCGAATCTACGTTGATTATGGTATTCATGGCGATGAAATACCAAACTTGGACTTAATATGGACGTCCCTGGGACGTTCCATCTTGTAACATCGGACGTCCCCAATACGTCCTGTGGACGTCTTCGACCGACACTGGACGTCTTCAGGACGTCTTGTACGTCCCAGATGTACGTCCTCTGGACGTACACAGGACGTCTTCGTGTTATCTGGGTGCTGGCTTTTTGGGGTAGCAAATGACGACTGATGAGCATCCTTCAATCGTCGTGGGAATTTTGGCAGGATCCATTTTGGACTCCAGAGGTATCCTCGTCCTGGGCATGACGGTTGTTTCTGGAATACCCAAGATCTCAATGTTATTTAAACGCCCTTGTTGATTTAACCACTCAACATCGTACTTCAGATTGGAAACTTCCGAGTTTAAATGCTGGATTTCTTGCTTCATGGTGTCAACAGTGTTGATAACTTTTTTCACAGTTTCCATCTGGGCATTGAAATCGTCTATTTTGTTGCCATAAAATTGAAGTGATTGGGCAAATTCAGTTTGACTTGCTTCAACATCTACGATAGCTTTGAACATCGAATCAATTTTCATTAGTAGAACTTTCATGGCATCTGGACCTTCGGTTGCTTTGCTGTCTCTGCAATCGGCGCACTTCCAGAAAAAACCAGAGTCAGCCGATAAGTCATCAGTTATTGTGGCGGGCAGTTTAACACACTTGTAATGGAAAAACAATTGGCAACGACCTTGGCACTGAAGACCTGGGCTATTCCGGCTACTTATCGTTTGCGAACAAATTTTACACATCGGCATTATGGTTGAAAAAACTGGTGCCAGTTTTTGCCACTCTAACGAGTATGAATTGATATTATCAATTACTAGGAATTAAACTGCAGTTCTTGATTATCGCGACTTGACTTTACGAAAATCACTTAGAGCACAGTGTCACGACAAAAAAGATATTAAATTTGTCAGAAATAAACATATATGAACCACTTTTTAGAGGATTTAAAGTGAGACAAAACGGAAACGTGTTGAGCCACGAAACGAGTCAACGAACTACTTGGCTTAATAGTTTGAGAGAGGTAATTTTCGAATAGGCACTAATAGTTTAGGGTCAGCTGGAAGTACGATATAATATATTCAAACGTAACAATATTCATTGAAGCATGAAACATTATGGATAGCGATGAAAAATATGAATAAACAACAATGAATATAACGACCCAATAACAATTTACATTATAGTGACCATTACGACGAGCTCTCGTCAAGTCAAGAGTAGTCCCAGAACGCGACTAACTTCGGAACCCCCACATCCACTATTTATATACATCATTTTATTAGTCTAGCACGTTCCTTATGAGAGTTCCTTGGTCAGTTTTCATAGTTCAATGTCAACGGATGATTTGATCAACTAAATGTTTATAAAACCCTCATGGTTCGAAATTACTTATATACCGTATGTTCTACTCGTGACACGACCCCTCTCTTCGAGAGAACTGTACCCCAGTTTTGAAATAACTACCTAGAACCTGAATTATCGAGGAGAACATATACCTAAAATAAATGAATGACAAAAAACAATACAGCATGGAAATTGAGTTCACACACTCAAAAGTTCAGTGTCTACAATGCGCACTCACACTTTTACTTAGTTCGGCACTGGCTATTCAACTGATTTTAATCAGACTCTTCTCGATGAGACTTCTGGCAGCTGGGGGGTGGGGAATGACGATTGGCCATGGCATCCTCCAATCGTCATTGGGATTTCGACAGGATCCTTCTAGGCTCGGAGGTATCCTTGTCCTGGGAATTAGGATGAAATCTTTTCGGCTTCAAGATTTCGTAAACTGTCCTTCGAGAAAGTTTACAGCTGAACGAAGGGAACTGCTGGCTTTTTGGGGTAGCAAATGACGACTGATGAGCATCCTTCAATCGTCGTGGGAATTTTGGCAGGATCCATTTTGGACTCGAGAGGTATCCTCGTCCTGGGCATGACGGTGAAATCTTCCGGGATTGAAAATTACTTCAAGGTAGGTAACAGCTGAACGAGAGGAAATGCCGGCTGTTGGCAGTAGCTGTGATGACAGGACAAAATCTTGGTTCATTCGTCTCAATGAAGGTAGTTGGCTGTGTCCATGGGAGGCGACGACGAATTCCCGTCATATGAGAGACTGATCAAGCATCTCGTGGAAAAAATTTCAATCCTGGGCTACCCAGCAGCTACCATCGAATCATGCTGTACAGTCAAACAGTCCTTGGTTTGACCATGTTTGGCCATTTGGCTGCATCCCCTCTGGATGTTTGATTTGTTGATGAGTGTATGCCAGTGCTCAGTGTGCGTGCATCGTTTCGTGAGACACCGTGAAAACATACAAAAAAAAATGATAGTCAATTACTTACGTTAATATTAACAGTAAAATGAGGAATCCTTCAAGACTCTTTTATCATTTGATGAATAGTTTGATTTAACTATATTAGAATATGATTAGCGTATTGTTAGATCTATTATAAATACCTTTTTCATTCAAACTTCATGAATATAGATCCCAGTTCAAGAATCCATCCTGATTTCAATCGATTCATATTATATACAATATTTAGATGAAAGAAGTACCTCAATTACATCATAAGTTTTTCGAGCAACCGATTACTCTAAATATTTTATTTCCAAAAAATCATAAATAACTATCTAATATTTTGAAACTTATCATTGATGTTCGTACTTTGTTATCACCCACAATTCATGCTGCTATACATAATGATATAGGTACTTTTGCATTTGAATGGAAAATATTGAATTCATGATTGAAAAAAAAAATGATCAAAATGAGTCCATCATGAGGATTGCGATTCAAAGGATGGAAGCATAGGCGCCTCCACCATGTCACGATATAAAAGAAGGTTAGTCCATCCATATCGATTCATAAGGGGTTTGGTTGGCTTAATAGTTCGCGAGAGGTGATATTCGAATAGGCACTAATAGTTAAGGGTTAGCTGAAAGTACTGCACTATATTCAGACGTAACAATATTCATTGAAGCATGAAACATTATGGGTACCGATGACAAAAAAGAATAAACAACAATGAATATGAAGACCTAATAACAACTTACATTATAGTGACAATTACGACGAGCTCTCGTCAAGTCAAGAGTAGCCCCAGACCAGACTAACTACGGAACCCTCACATCCACTATTCTTTCATGAGAGTTCCTTTGGTCAGTTTTCATAGTTCAATGTCAACCGATGATTTTTCATAAAACCCTCATGGTTCGAAATTACTAATATACCACAGGAAGGAAGGAATGCTCGAAGTCAAAGCATTCCTTCCTTCCTGTGAAATATTTCACTCTACTTTGAGCAATATATGGACTTCTACCAGAGATTAATATACCGTTTGTTCTACTCGTGAAAATATTGTTGAAGGAACTGAATAGTTCCTCTAGCTGTATGAGCTCTATCCTGTTGGAGATATCTAAACCAAAGTTCATCATCATGAACTTGCTCAAGGAATTCTCTTACTAAACTACTCAACACTAATTTCGTCGCACACCAAAATGTCGCCCCTGTTATAATGTGAATAACTTTTTTCAGTTTAAAACAATTTGAATTTGGTTCACACTGTTCGATAGCCCAGTCCTTCAGCTATAATCTCGTACTTCATTGAAACATAAGGGTTTTCACATAAAATCTCTACATGGTGTTTTCCGACACTGTGCAAAATTTCGGAATATTCAAAAGGCTCTCAAATGGTGAAAAATTCTTATTTCTCAACTTCGACAACAGAGGCATGAAGATGATCTCATTACCTCGAGATATTTCGCGAATCAACTTCCTATCTCTCTTATTTACAGAGTGATCTCAAAAAATCAACTTTTTGGTTTTGCAGCCATAACTTTCTTCCACGTCAACCGATTTTGGAAATCTTAGGCTCATTTTGAAGATGAAACTTCAGATGAAGAGATCTGAATATCAGGATTGACTCAAGATGGCTATCAGAGATCTAGAGTTTTTTTGAAAGGTACCCAAATCTGGAACGCCCTCCGAATCTCGGTTGGGAGGAGAATTGAATGAAAATCAACTTGTTCTCGGAAAAACAATTCATTCAGGGTGCGTCCATATTTTCCTCGCTCTCAGTAGTCAAGAATTGTGCGTGAGAAAACACAATTGAAACATGTTCTTGCAAAAACATCAGACCATTTCTCCTCTGTAATGCATGGCCCGTAACCAACGTTACAAGAATCACAATGGACTGACAAACTCGACCAGCTAAGGCTCATCATAAATGATGTACCAACAACCCTATGCGGTCTCGCATTGTCATCAACGAGAACAAAGTTGCCACCCACATCCGCGTTAGATGAGGCATCGAAACTATCGAAATCTGTTTATGATTCGAAAACGACGTCTAACCTGACTTGTCAGTTACTTACTGTGATTCTTGTAACGTTGGTTACGGGCCATGCATTACAGAGGAGAAATGATCTGATGTGTCTGCAAGAACATGTTTCAATTGTGTTTTCTCACGCACTTTCTTGACTACTGAGAGCGAGGAAAATATGGACGCATCCAGAATGAATTGTTTTTCCGAGAACAAGTTGATTTTCATTCAATTCTCCTCCCAATCGAGATTCGGAGGGCGTTCCAGATTTGGGTCACTTTCAAGGAAACTCTAGATCTCTGATAGCCATCTTGAGTCAATCCTGATATTCAGATCTCTTCATCTGAAGTTTTATCTTCAAAATGAGCCTAAGATTTCTAAAATCGGTTGACGTGGAAAAAAGTTATGGCTGCAAAACCAAAAAGTTGATTTTTTGAGATCACTCTGTAAATAACAGAGATAGGAAGTTGATTCGCGAAACATCTCGAGGTAATGAGATCATCTTCATTTCTCTGTTGTCGAAGTTGAGGAAAAATTGTTTTTCACCATTTGAGAGCCTTTTGAATATTCCGAAATTTTGCACATTGTCGGAAAACACCATGTAGAGATTTTATGTGAATACCCTCATGTTTCAATGAAGTACGAGATTATAGCTGAAGGACTGGGCTATCGAACAGTGTGAACCAAATTCAAATTGTTCTGAACTGAAAAAAGTTAATCACATTATAACAGGGGCAACATTTTGGTGTGCGACGAAATAAGTGTTGAGTAGTTTATATTTCGATATCTTCCAGCATTCACTGTTTCCTAAAAAAAAAAATTGGACCTATTATTCTTCTTCTAGGAATTGCAGGCTTCATCAGTGAAAAAAGTTGAATCCAGCACAGCGTCATCATTCAAATGCTCATTGGAACGATGACAAATCGGAGCCTTCATTCAAAAATGCATTTGCATATTTTCCTTCAGTGCCTTACGACATGTTCCTACAAAAAGACCTGAGAAATATTCAATTATATTCATGAAAACTTCACCTACCTAATGAGTTTCCTACTTGCTTCTTGTGACAGCTTTGAGAGACTTATTAGGTACGATTCTCAATATCATGAAGGATGCCTTCGGAAAGAAGAGTTGGTCTACCAGCTGATTTTTCTTCGCAGATGCAGTCTTTTGTTCCAAAATTCTATATAATATGCTCATTATACATATATTTGCATTCGAGAATGCAACATGAAATTGTTTCAGGCAGCTTTGGAGTGAAGATGTCTACGTTCCATCAGGATCACGAGTAGCACTTCTAAAAGGTGGCATTAGTAAGAAGGCATCTGAATTTTACTAAAAAATACCATGTTGTTGATCCTGGAAGGAAAATAAAAACATCAACAGTACGAAATAAGAGGTTTATTATTGGTCCTACCTTTGCACAACAA